AGTTCCCATCCGCGGTATCGATCGAGAAAAAAACATCTCCGGCTTCCTGCCCTCCATGCGCAAAGTACTTGAAAACTGAGAAACCTCAAAAGCGTAAGATCGGGTCATATATTGACTATCTCTCAGAAGACAACAAGGCAAAAATTGATAGTGGTCTTGGGAAATTTATTTATGGATGTAATATTCCTTTTGAGGCAGTCGAATCAAACCTGTTCCTGGATCTCATAGCACACTTACGTCCTTCATATAAACCAATTCCTGCAACATTACTCTCAGGGCATTTGCTAGATAACATCCCCGCTGAACTAACCGACAATCGTTCAGTACGTCCCACTTCGGAAGGAATATTGAGCATTACAGAGACAGAAATTCAATCAAAGGTTCACGTAATTGGGTTTTTGGTATCTCAGCAAAAGACAGATTATTTAAAAACTTGGGATGTTCACAGGATGAGATTGGATGTATCAGCAATATTCAATGAAGCAATTCATTTGGCTACCACGAAGTTTGGAGTTTCTGTATATGCTCTTATCACCGATCAAGACATTCAGCTAATTGAAAGAGAATCTCTTGAAGGGGTGTGGCTACTACAATGCAATAGCTCATTCGCTATATCAGTAGAAATGAGTATTCTTGACGCAGAGTTGAAGAAGAAGGTACGATATGTACGCGAAGAATTTATGACAACTGGATTAGACAAGGAAGTGATACTGCGAGGGGGAGTCTCCAGCGATCTTCAAGACAGTTCCTCTTATAAAAATTGGAACCTGCTCTCAAATTTTACCAATAATCTCCAAGTTATGACACAAATTATGGGGAATAGAAAATTGAAGTTGGGGAAAGAAGTAATCAACATCCTGATTGATGAATCTGTTGAGGAGCAGGTCAATAAAACATTGAAAATGTTGAAGCCGCTTCACACTCTCATGAAAAAATGCCATGAGGGAACTATGATTGCTGATGCAACCAAGCATTGGCTGATGCTGGAATCAGACGATGACCCTTTATATGATGGAATTCGATATCAGATTTATCAATTTCTGTCTCCAATAATGTTGGTGACAAACCTTCTTCATCCAGTGTACAGAGGGAAGCGTTTCATAAAGGATCAAACTTGCATGCAGAGGGTGATGGAGTTTTTGATCGATCATCTTGAGGAAGAAGGAATGGAAACCTTCGGGTAGTTCCAAGAACCTCTCACCATTTTTGGCTCTTCACGACTAGAAAAATACACTAATGGGCTAGCCTATTGGCAGCCTGTTTCATCTGTACATCCTCAGTTATCTTCTCTCGCTCTTAAACTACTGAGATTGACTGCAGCAGTACCAAAGATGAAAGGACACCCAAAGAATGTGAATAATTTAGCAGCAGACCAATTTGAAAAGCTGAAGGACATTTTCTATTATCTCAATATTTAGACTGAGCAACGGTATGTGACTGATGAGTGCAACATAATGTGATATGTATTAACTAAGCTAAGAAAGTTATTAGGATATTCTTCTCAAATAAAGTGTAGTTTCACCAAAAAAATTTTGTATAATTTTTATTTACTAATAAGATGTATGAAAACGAATTAATCCCAATCAATCAAATCATCGTCATTATCATACAGTTCATTCATTTTTAAAGAATAATAAATGTTAACTAGTTTCATTGAGCGATCAACTATCAGACGATTACGCAGGTCTGAGTGAACGAAAACCCACGATGAAAATAATCTCTCAATCTGTGCGAAGGATGCAGGAATTTTAGATAATTTGTTTGCCAGATTTACCAGTTCAAGATAAAATGGACCAGCTGCAGTCGAAAAAGTTTGAGGCGTTGTATAATTTCTTTTCTGCAATTTGCAGAAAATACCTGTGTTTTGCTGATACTGAACTAGTCCGGATTACTTCGTGGCTTCACGCATTTTTAGCTCTTGTGTAATGAAGTCTTCGACCATTTTCATCTTCATCTTGTCATGAGCAAAGCGCTTACCTTGATACTGGGGATGTGAAAAATTTGCAGCCAACACAATAGGTGTTAAAACTTTATTCAAACGGCGTTCCAACAGCTTTTGTAATTCATCATTAACCGCTGGCATAATCAATTGCAACCATTGCTCACAACCATCGGCTAGACTGCAGCTCGATCTCTGACAAACATTGATCAACTGACAGATAGGATCAAAAAGAAGGATATAATCCTGTAATTCGGTCTTGAAAGCGGGATCTCTCAACAGCTTCTTGTTTTCAACGCTCAATTGAATTTTGTGTTCATCGATGAGTATATTCATAAGATGGAAGTTTTTCAATAAACATCTAAACGCATCTCGATAGCTGCACCACCTAGTCTCGCAAGCCAGAATAATTCTGGAGCCTCCCAATTGCTTCAACTCATGTTCTGCTCCGGGAGTTTTGAACTCACGTAGAAGTTTATTCACCTTTTTTGTGAATATCTCAGGGACAAAAGCCTTTGCCAATAAATTACCACTATGGCTCTGACAAGTAGTATGCCATACGTCTACTTTCTTTCCCATCGATACCATGGCCGATGCATTGTCCGATACAACTGCATAAACATCGATGTTGAACTTTTCTTGTGCTAGGCACTTAGCCTCATCCACAATTTTCCTCAATTCTTCGTTTCACTTATTCCCGTCAAATCCCACGATTTCAAAAATATGCTCTTGGAATTTACTGTGTGAATGGTACAAACGACATTTTTGGTATTAGCTGCTGAGTTTGTCCAGCCATCCGTGAGCGGAACGCCCTGTGAACCGCGTAATGACACTCGCTCATGGACTAGGCTCTGATGTACTTTGTCCAGTAATTTTGTTGACAATTTTTTTCTGGTGGGGATTTTGTAGCTAGGATGTAGGAGGCCAATGAAATTCTTGAAATGTGGAGATTCTACAACATTAAATGAAATGTTGCATGCGAAAAAGAACTGCGCGAGGGCGAAGTCGATTGCATCCTCTGTTGCATTTGAGTTGCTCGAAGATGACTGCTTCTTATATAGAAAAATATATACATTAATAGCTCAATAACAATAGTCATACCATTTCAAAAAAGAGTGATTCGTTACTTACGTTGTTAATTGTGGAATAACTCATGATTTTAATGGAACGCACTTCGCTCGCCTCTAGTAACATTTAATAACTCCCTAGTGAATCTCATGAAATTTAGCCATTTACTTATCACCCTCATAACATTCGACCTCCACAACCATTTAGATATTTTTTACATTTTATACTTTTTTAACGTATTTTACGTAAAATACGTGCATTCAAAATCCGGTCCACTATAATAAACCCGAAAATACATTTCATACATTTTTTACATAATTTACGTGTATTATACGTATAAAGTCAAAGACCCTAGATCCCACCGATTTACCCAACCCTGCACGGGAAAACTTTCCGTCTGCCTAATGGAACGAAAAACCTCACGTGTATGGAATGGAACCCATACAGATACGGGACACGGTCCGTGAAACCTTCTCTGGTGGTAAGTCACACCGTTTTCAATTATCTTCGCAGCAAATGGGAAAACTTATTGGTTCTTTTTAGGAACAGTTTATGACGTGAGTTTTTCCCATTCCCCGAAGTATTCCTCCATTTAGAATACATAATATTGTTTTATCCACGAAGAAGGTTGTGACAATCATTTTTCAGTCTGTTGTGAAAATAAACGTTATTCCATAAAATTCCGCCCACATGTAGAGGTTATATTCTTTCCTGACGTTTCTTTGCTGTTGACACTGAATAGAAAGATTTTGAAAAAAAATATCAGATTATAAGAAATGTATGATTAATATCTTTCAAAGTCGCAAAAAAACAACGGCGAATCGTCAGGAAGACATCATTTTCCAATTTGCGTAAGTACCGTGAGAGCGTGAATTGTCAGACGGTACCCAGATGTCGCATAAGGAAATCTCAGGTCTGAGAATTGTATTTTCCACTCGTTCGGCACGTAGGTTCGCGAAGAAGCTGGAAAAGGATAGGATGCCCGGTAATTAGAGATAATTAGGACTGTTTCTTTGAACTATCAGTATTTGTATAGGAATAAAAGAAATTAACTCTAAAAATCAATTGAATCATGTGGAGGACACATGAATAAACAGCTGCGATCCTCATCACACACATAATCTGAGCTGAATGTTTTTTAGGACTTAGCTTTTCTCGTAGTCTTATTCGCTACTGTTTCAAAACTGGTGATCCTACGATATTTGTTACTAATAATTTAAACAATCGGTAGGTTCTGCGACAACTTTGACAAAACATTTTTTACAGTTCGGTGTTGCTATGTTTTCACTGCTATTTATTGATTTGATTTATTTCCTAAAAATCATCGTAAATAATATTTAGTGCGTGTTACTCTTGAAAATAAAATTTATTAATGAAAAAAATGTTTTTATTCGAAAAGCACTTAAATATGGTCGGAATATTGTGTTGGAAAGCTATATTTTTTTCGTTAAAAGAGGGGTTTTCTGTAGGAATACTATGCTATTCCCCCTCACCTACATTTCCTCCTCGCCCGAAATACCTAGAAAAAAAAATGTATGGTAAATTTGGTCACCGAAAACTCACGTTATAAGATACATACATACATACATGCAAACGTGACCTCATAAACATCATTTTTTTCACGTTTCATAACATTCTAGGCCATTTGGAGTCAAAATTAGAGAATCGAAAAATCGGTCAATTACAATGCTTCCACTTGGAAGTAAAAACGGAGAAAATGACAGCAATAGTTATATGACCATTACTGGAATACATACATGAAGGCAGTCAATATCTGGCCCAATAATGAAAAGTCGATTTTCGAAATTTAATCGCGGATTGGGTAAATTACGTTCCAGGTTTTTTTTCCTTTCAAAATCTAAATATTCCTTTTCAATTTCCACCAACCCTCTCACAATATTTCACCTGTATCCTCTTCTAATATTTTCATATTATCTCAATTCTATTTTAGCATTAAAAAAAATAACAAACCATCGAAAATGATTGTTTCAAGGTCTGCATGGAGCCGGAGATTGGCGAGATGTACACTAATGATCGTGAGAAGTTCGAGGAGATTGCACGTTCCTGGACATGGAAGTACGCAATGCACGATGTGGTCACACCTTCCTAGATCATAACGAGATCGACGAAAGACAAACAACATGCAACTGGAAAAAAACCTTGAGGAACTCGCTGAAATGTGAAGTGGTGAAAAAAAAAGAAGGAAAGAGTAGTCTCTATTAGCTTTTATCCGGCTCACGGATTTTCTCTATTTTCTGCACTGATGGTTGGAATGGAGTGAGAGTCCTGTATGGGGGGTCCACCACCGTCATTTATTCCCGGCCGGCAGTATTCCGGTTTCCCGGTGGCCTCAGCCGACTTTCGAAATTATACAGTCATTGCTACGCTTAACTGACGCCCTCCGGGTAATCATCAGACGGAAATGTTCATTTTTTTTATTTTCTTCTCTGAGGCTGAAGCTAAGGGCCAGAGTAAGAGCAAGAACATTAGCGGATACTTGTGTACAGAAACTAAACATTAAAACATTTTATTTGAAAATAATCGTAACATGTTTTCTTATATTTTCGTTTTGGATGGCGATGCATATCCTTTATGAGGAACAGGTTACCTGCACCTGAAGCAGCACTACTGATAGACAGAGGACGGCTGGTATATATGGCGAGATGTATGGACGACCAAGCAATTAAGCGAATTATTTATTTTATAAGTATTTCATGACTTTTTTTATTGATTTGGTGGAGCAATATTTTAGGCTGATTTGTTTTCAGTAATTGAGAAAGATATTTATGCTGTGTTACTAGATAACCGGTTGAAGTAATGGGGAGGGAAGTACGAAATAATAAAGAAATAGTGAATCGTTTTTGGATTAATGGATCATGCCGAGCCAACTGCATAATTATCGAGACGATGAGTGATAGGCGGACAAGGAGACAAGAGATAGGATGATGTGAGGAGAGTTTTGTCATTTGATTATTGAAAACATTAGAAAAGAGCTTCTCATATTTTTTCGTGTTTTCATACGAAACTCTTATTTTACGAATAGTTGTAGAATTAATGAAGCTGGTATTTTCCACGTTATTAGATTAATCACTTTGTTCCAGTGACGATTGCATCAAACTCAATTAAGCAAGTCTCGTCCTAATGGCCAAATAATCCGTCAAATTTAAGGCAATCGCTTCCCCGAGTAAGTCATCTAATTTGTACAAATTTTTCTTTTCATCAATACTCATAGAATCATCAACAAGTCACAATTTTTTCTTGTTAGTTATGTATTTTCTATTATTCCGAAAATTCTGATGTAGTCTTTCGAACAGTTTTCGAGATTTTCATCTGTTTATCCTCTACTGATATGTCTTAAGGTTGTTCTCGCGTAGAATTTTTTTTCGACAGTTTTCGTTAACAATTTTATGGTGAATAGTTTGAAAAATTAGCAACAAAATGAGCCTTTTCCGTTTGCAATTGACCGTTTTGAACTTGAGATATAAATTTTTGAAATTCGAGTGATTTAAGACGTGTTTAAATGGAGTTTTGCCGATTAGAATTTTTTAAAAATCAACGGCTCGACAGTTTCAGAAATAAAAAAAAAACATGGAATATACATCGTGGGAGGAAATACAGAAAAAAAAATCAAATCGATTGACCGTTTGGTTTACGGAATATAATTATCGGAAATTCATAAATTTATATAATTGAAAATAGTTAATATGGAAAATATATAGTTATGCTTTAGCTATCCATGCACAATGCAATCAATCAAGCGAGACTATATACCGCTAAAAGATTGTGTTCTAAACTGGCCCGTTTTACAGCGGATAAACTTTTTGCAGAGACTGTCGCGCGACAACCACCTTAATGGAATATGAGTGGCAGAGAATAGTATTTTTCACGCCTAGGACGGAAAAAGGGAATCTGACGAATGCGATTTTATAGTCCGAGTCGGAAACGGGGATTATGACGCGCATGAGTCAGAATCACTTTTTTCGCCGTGGCTATGATGCTATTTTATGTCATTGTGGCCGAAAACGCGTTTTTATCCGAGCAAAACGAGGTTAGAAACGCGTTTTACCGGCCGCATTGACATAAATAATTTTAACGTAGTGGATTAAATACGTTAATTTTTCTTGATTAAGAATGGCACCAGAAAGAAATGGCTGTTCCCTCAGCGTTGGTCAGCGAGCCCTAAACAAATCGTCATCCTCAGACAAAGGATTTCCAGTCCCTTTGCCACATGTCGTCATCGCTTATGTTTATGTTTTATCCAACATCTCTCTCTGTGTTGATTCATTTTTGAAACCATAGACTAATAAAAATTAATTCTTAACAGACTGAGGCTATATTCCAACATTTCTCATATAAAAGAAAAGGTTCACGGACTTAATTCCCCTCTGAGAACTCCTCCCCAAAAAAATTCTTCCAGAAGAATTTTCCCTTACTATAGCATCATTTTTGAAAAATTATTCCTCACTAATTCGGTATTATAAACAGACCATGACTTTAATACAATGTACAATAACACTATAAGAATATTTGTGATTTTTCAAATAGCAGAGTGCTAGGATCAATAATTTTATAGAGTCAATAATAATAGTCAATTTAGAAAAATTTTCAAAAATAATCTTTTTTTGACCAATAATCGCCCAGTAAGAATGACTTATCGGATCTAATATGGCCATTACATTTAAAACTTGGTGCAAAAAAAAATTTCTCAGAGTTTATTGTATCATCAATTTCTGGTAAATCATTACCGAGAATTTTCTTTTGGGTGAATCGATCTCGGGAGGATTTTATTGGGAAACCTTTTTGGAAAATTGGTAGGTTGGTTAGGTATTGGCTAAGTTCATTTTATGTAACAATTTGCTTCTTTTTAAATTCTAAATAATAAAAGGGAACGAGGTCTTTGAAAATGGAACAATTTTTTTTTCTTAAGAAACACGGGCGTGTTTATCTTTATTTTTTTCATCATAATGTGCAAGAATTGGTATTTTGCGTACAGAGTAATAATAGTATATTGTCCATTAAGAGCGGAAAGTCAGTGTTTTCCCGCCCGAGGTGCATATGCTATTTTTCAACATGCCTGCAAAGGAAACTTCGTATTTTGCTGTGTGAAAAGCGGGATGAACGTGAATGCTTTCCGGGTAAGGGGGGAAAGTTCCTCCTAAGGACAGAAAGTTTGGACTTTCCGACTTTGGCAGCAGCTTTTTATCCGAGAGCAGGAAATACTCACTTTTCCTCCTCTTATCAGGGAGCAAAGTGGGAACTTATCGTGCAGATGTATTGAAAATAGTATTTTTACACAGACAAGGGAAAGGTCAGGCTTTTTTGTTTCACGCATGACGAAATGTAGGTATCTTCCTCCATTCGATTATTTTTCGATGCTTTAATGAAACTAATGATCTCGTTGGATAATTGGAGAAAAATGTGATTTTTTCGATGGGATATAGCACAAAAAATATTAGAAGTCCATGAGATCTGAACTAAATCGAATGCGAATAAGCAAAGAATACGAGCAACACAGAGCTGATGATGAAAATAAACGTTCATCCATCGCAACATAATCTCCATTGTCGTCAGTAAAAACCTGTTCTCGGAGTCAAGAATGGTCCAATGGATCTAATGAAACGCAGTCAGGAAATCATTTACCATGATTTATTATTTCATTGCGAGATTCATGTGGTGAGTTATGTCCAATTACGCAAGAAACAACCTAACTATTAAAATACTAGTGATATTTCATATTAAGAGCATTCTTTTCAGATGTAATGAACATTTTCTGCTCAATTGACGATATCTCAAGTGTTTGATAAACATATCTGTGGAAACAAAATGAGGTTTTATACAATTTCAAAGAAGTTTAATGCATTCTAACTGAATAAAGAAATCATATGAATTATAAAATTCCCAAACAATCAGTTTTTTTTTTTACCATATTGTTTTATGCAAAAAAAGTCGTAGAGACCCTTGTCTGGTTGTCAGTCAGTGGGAAAATCGGGTAACCGAGCCATGGTTGACAGATGTAGCCCAGCCCCGGGCCGAAATTTGGCATGCCGAAGCTTGGTGGCCGAGCCGCTGCCAACGTTGGGCCGGAGATTGGTAATCTAATTCCAACTGGTAATGAAATCTTCTTTTGAGGGTTAAGTCGTAAGGGTGAAAATAAAAGTGTAGGGATGGAACCATACAGGTGGCAGTTGAAAATTTAATTTCCAAAATTCCGTAGAAAGAAGTGAGAAGAGCATAAAAATAAAATTTTGAGGGTTAAGGGTGTAATCGTCGAGATATATTATTAAGGTGGCATTGTATTGTGTTGTAGGTGGAATTAAATCATACGTTATCCGATAATCATAACAAATAAAATATAGCGTGAAAAATTAATCATTTATTGTTATATAATAATAATAATTATTATTATTTCCATTATTCATTATTAAATGAATTTACGGATTAAACTATGTTGAAACCATTTACCATGTCTATGAACTGAATAATAAAATGTTTAAGTAGAAAAAAACGGTGGCGGAATCGATAAATACATATAGCCAATTAGAAATGGAGACTTTAAGAATTTGGCCGTTGACTAGTGGATAAAGTAAATATTCTAACAAGCTCAAGCAACCACCTAGACAACACTCCCCTCAACAATGGCAAGTATTATACTAGAAACCTTTTATGAGTCGATCAACTCACCACAACACGAGAAATCATCGATAAACAAGTGCTCGACTTAAAAAAAAACCATGGAACAAGACAAATCCAACAATACCACCATCACAACGTTTACCGCTGCAAATCAAAAGGCTACCTATCAAAACATCTATCATCATACATCAAGCCCCTCTCTCCATTTATAATCAAGGACCTTACCATTCTCATTACCAATGCCCTTAACCGGAATTATTTCCCCGAAATCTGGAAAATCGCTCAGGTAAACCCAATGGTAAAAAACGACGAACCCAGCAATGATCCCTCTAGCTATCACCCCATCAGCCTGATACCGAACCTCAGTAAGATATCCGAAATAGTCGTCAATAATCTAATCACCCGACAGTCCACACAGAACAAAATTATTCCCCATAACCAGTGCGGTTTCCGACATTAACACTCCAGCACCCACGCTATCCACAGATTCCTCGCAGACACCAACAAGGCCCTCCACCTTAAACACATGGTGGGAGCTACGTTGATCGACCTAGAAAAGGCGTTCGACTCAGTCTGGCTAGATGGGCTAACCTATACCCTCATCAAGAAGAAATTCCCAACCAACTTGATCAGATTGATCTTGTATATGACTAACAGTAAATCATTCGCCACAGCAGACGGAACACACTCATCCAGCAAAAACTTCCAAATCCGCGAAGGACTCCAGCAAGGCATCGTCAACTCCCCGTGCCTTTTCTCTATTTACACCAGGGATCTCCTCAACTCTTTTGGCCTCAACAGTAAACCCAATATCCACTCAATTGCTTGTGCCGATGACTTGATAGTCTACGTGATAGGGAACAACGTCAAAAAAATCCAGTCAACACTGCAAACCCTGGTCAATAAAA